CCCCAAAACCCCAAAACCCCAAAACCCCAAAACCCCAAAACCCCGTGGCTGATTCTATGGATAGACTTGGATGAAGGATAATTTAGTATTCACTTCCACCAAGCAAATCGATAATCTCTTCGTATAGCACCCAGATAATTGAGTTAGCTCAAAAAGCTAAGGTTCAGGTTGGAAGAACACCTTTGAAGAAGAACCTGGCGCCTTGTTTTTTATAGTACTTCTTAGCGGTTTCAAGAATCCCAGGAGCTTTCTTGCCCTCATGTACCTGGATCTTGGTTTTAACGACATCGAAAGGATATGTGGGGACCCAATCCATAATCCCTGCTATTCCTCCAGACATGGCTTTAATAAAGTACTTTCTTCTGCGAGAGTCGTCTTCTTTTATAAGATACCGGGTCAGGGTTTCGTATGTCCAAAAGTACATCCCTGTGCATGGGACATCCCTGATGACAGTGACCCAGAATCCTTGGTAAAGACCGGTGACTCCTTTGGTTTGTACTATAGATCTGATTGTTTTCCTATAGTTAATGAATTTATGTTTGTTTGCTTGAGCCCTTCATTTCAGTAGTTCAGCTGGAACAGTTGTGATGCAACCTGCGAAGCCTGCAAATAGCCCTCAGTAGAGTGACTTCCACCCTTCACTAATATTTACCCCATCAATCATTCTGTGGGCAAAAGCATTTGATGTGAATCAGATACAAAAGATTGAGGCAGTGTTTATCTATAAAAGTTAACTGAACATTTTACAGAGTTTGACAGAACTCCTTTGAACAGACCCTTGATCCCTTCTCTTTGAATGGCTTTGTAAGCTCAGTGGAAAGATGTCTTATACTGATTAGTTTGGACTGATTTGTCTAATAGATTCGAACCTTGAAGTTGCATCCGAATTCTAACCGTATCAATGGGGTGTGTGGCAGCCACGCCGATAACACCAGCAAAGGTGCTGGCGATAATATCATTGCACACCATTCTGAACTCAGATCTTTTAGGTTCTTTGGTTTTCTAAATTTGTTAATGTTTTGTGCTTGGAGACATTCATTTATGTTAGAAAATCAAGTTTTTTCAAGATGTATTTTACAAATATAAATTCTTTTAACAAATCTGAACAAGTATATAACTACATTAAAATTTTATGGCTTCTATCTAGATTTCAAGCTTCTCTGCCTCTACTTATAATGTGCGAGGCTATTATTGGGGTTCTTCACCTGACAAATCCACATAAGACAAAACTTTTCACCTCCTTGCTTCTTTCATTAATGCTGAAAAGCTAAGCCGGCTACTTAGGAATTTTCTGAGCCAAGGTAGCTTTAAAACCTCACTTACGCTTCAGGAAGTCTTCTTAGAACTAGTCTTGGATGGTTCAGACATCTTAATTATAATTAAAATATATTTAAGATTTTAATGGGGTTTTGGGGTTTTGGGGTTTTGGGGTTTTGGGGTTTTGGGG